GTTTTTAGACCATTTAGAAAGGTCAAGAGGGAGGGGGCAGATCTAACTTCTAGGGGGATGACATTCCAAAAAATGGGAACCATGGCAGAAAAGGCTCTTCTGGACCCCACTAGTTACAATTCCTTGGCTGACAAGAAGTGCAGCATGCCCCTTCTGGCACGAGTTGGGCAGGCCAATCCCATTGGGGTGAGGCAGTTCCTCAGATACCATAGACCTGTGTTGGTGAACCTTATGGCACATGTGCCAGTAGTAGCACGCTAAGCCCTCTCTGGGCACGAGCCATCACCCCAGATCAGCTCCGCCGTGCATGTGTGTGTGGCTCTCGCCGGCCATCTGGTCTTCAAGTCTCTGCATGGGGGTTGGGCACATGCAGGAGATGAGGGACATGTGTACATGTGGTGGCATGGCGCATGCTTTGGGATGTACGTGCATGTATGGACGAGGAGTGGGGTGCATGCACGTGGATGTGCACACCTGCATGGGGGATGCGTAGGCATTGCATTTTGCCAATGTGCATGCATGTGCTTTGGGCACTTAGTGCTGAAAAGGTTACCCATCACTGACCTATATGGTCTCTCTCACGTGTGGATCCTGTGATGTGAATTAAGGTTACTATTTACAAAGCTCATCCCACAGTCTATGCATTTGTAGGGATTCTCCCACGTGGATCTCTTTATGGGAAATAAAGGATCCATTTTCACGGAATGTCTTTCCCCATTCTAGGCATTTTTGTGGTCCCGTCCCCACCCCCCCGTGGATCCTTTTATGAATATCAAGGGTTCCATTTTCACAGAAGCTCTTAATATGACATTTCCCTTGTGTGGATTTTATAATGGGATGAAGATTACTGCTGCACCAGAAACTGTTTCCACATTCAGGACATACGTAGGGTTTCTGTCCTCCGTGGATCATTTTGTGAGAAATTAGTGAAGAGTTTTGACTAAAACTCTACACTGAGTAGATCCTTCTATGTGATCCGGCCAGCGATGTGGTTGGATCTGGCCTGCCCTGGAAACTATAAGGGGCTGACCCACGTTGCTTCGGCCCAGTCCACTCTATCCTGGCATGCACACAGGAGGTGCAAGGCACACAAAGGCACACAGGCCCAGTCTACCCCATCCCATCAGGTGCGCATGCATACAGGAGGCAGCAGTCAAAACTGGGCACAAAGGTGAAAGGCCAGGCGAAGAGATGAAGAGGCTGTGTGTGTGAAGGCCAGGTGAAGAGGCTGGGTGGGGCAAGGCCAACAAGCTGCAGCTGTTGCCAAGCAGAGTGAAGCATAGCGGCCAGTCTCCATGTGCTTCCACAAGTGCGGCACATAGGAGGTGGCATGTATGTGTAGGGACTTGTGGCAAGCATGTGGAGACTGGCCGCTATGCTTCACTCTGCCCGACAACAGCTGCAGCTTGTTGGACTCGTCCTGTCCTGGCCTCTCGCCCAGCCTCACCTCGCCTCTTCACCAGCCTTGCCCAGCGGTGGCACTGGCAGCAGACTTGAGGTGGTAAACAGATGCTCACTCAGGGAAGCGGGGCTGGGCTGTGGGATCCCAGTGCTCAAGGGCTGGACCATCCCAGGTCAGCCACACCCAGTGAGCAGCATCAAGCTGGCCACGCCCACGCAATCAGACACATTCAGTGAGTAATATCAAGCTGGCCACTCCCACCTGGCTCCCCAAGGTCAACCACAGCCCTGATGCGGCCCTCTGTAAAATTGAGTTTTGACGTTCCTGTTCTATGGGAAGAAAGGTTTCTGCTTGTATTGAAGCTCTTTTCATACTCCAGGAAATTATACGATTTCTCCTGTGTGTAAATTTTTATATAAGAAATAAGGTTGATTCCTGACTGAAGCTCTTTCCATACTCCATGGATTTATAAGGTTTCTCTTCATGTGAATTGTAAGGGATTCATTTTCACTAGTGTTTTCCGCACTCTGTGTACTTATATGGTTTCTCCCAAGTAGAACCTTTTATGGGAGATCAGTTGACTGTTTTCACTAATGCATTCCCCACATTCCATGCATCAACATGGCTTCTCTCTGATGTATATTCTTTTATGGGAAATAAGGTCACAGTTCCAAAACAGGACGCATGCTCAGTTTCTTCCCTCTCCTCAGGCAAAATGGGGTGAGAGCATGCTCAGTTCCACACTGAAGTTGGAAAGCTACCAGGCCTTCCAGTAGGTACAGAGGGTGCCCCCTGGTGGCCTCCCTGCATTCTGCAGGGAGGCATTCCATGGGCAGAGAGAAAAGAGGAAAGAGCTTTTCCTTCATAAAATGTAATTTTGCTTCTCCGTGTTGGTCTGTGGAGACATATATTGATAAATTGAAATAACTAGGCATGAAAACTAATTGAATAGGTATAGAATAGGTGGTGCCTAGTTCAAAAGCAGTAACCATGAGAAGGATCCTGGACAGTGGTGTATTAACCATTAAGCAGACTAAGTGCTTAGGGCACCGGGCCCAAAGGGGGCACCACAAAAACTTTTATATAGCCTAATCTTGGCTTCGTTTGTATGGTATGTACAAAAGAGGGGGGCGGGCACCAAGATTTGTCAGTGCTTAAGGGCACCAGAGAGCCTTAATCCTCCACTGATCCTGGATTTCTAGTGGACAATCACTTAAATATGAGCCAGTGGTGTGCAGTAGCTGCCAAAAAAGCTAATACAACTCTTGGTTGTATAAACCAAGGCATAGAATCAAGATTACATGAAGTGTTTGTACTGCTTTCTATTGCCTAGGTAATATCACGCTTCGAATATTGCATCCAGTTATTGGTTGACACAATCTAGAAAGGATGCCGAGACTCTAAAAAGAGTAGAGAGAAGAGCAACAAAGATAAGGGAACTGAAGGCTAAAACATACAAACAATGGTTGCAGGAATTGGGTATGTTTAGTCTAGTGAAAAGGATAGAGGTGACACGATAGCAGGATCCCAGTATTTGAGGACTGCCACAGAGAAGGGGGGGGGGAGTTCAACCTATTCTCAAAACACCTGAAGGAAGGACAAGCAATGGATGGAAACTAATCAAGGAGAGAAGCAATATAACAACCAAGCTCAGAGAGCACCAAGGACCCACGTTCCAGTTCTAGGGCTACCATTGTAAAGTCCTGTCTTCTGCCCATATTTCCACTTGAAATGGGTATGGTACTCTAACTAGGCCCTTTCTTGATGGCCTAACAGATGGGCTGACACATTTTAGATAAAAGTGATTCCTAAAATAACCCTGGACCATTCTGAATTGGCTTTGTAGGTAATAATCCACACCTTAAATCAAGAATGACAGCCTGTAGACCAGGGATGTCAAATTTAATCGCATCACGGGATGTATTGTGATGTTTTTTGCCTTTACAGAGCTGGGGTGGGTGTGGCTTGTATGTGACGTATCCGGCCCATGGGGCACCAGTTTGACAAGCCTGCTGTAGACTGACCCTCAACTTCCAAGAATCATCATTCAAGCAAAAGCTGGTTGCACTTGCTAACAATCTAGCCAAGGTGTTTTTCAACCTTGGCCATGTTAAGATATGTGAACTACAAGTCCCAGAATTCCCAGCCAGTCCAGAATTTAACTCTGAGCTGTCTGGGAATTGTTGTTCCCACATGTTAAAAGCAGCCAACACTGAAAAAGTTTTTAAGAAGAAATTGGACAACCATTTGTCCAAAATGGTATAGGGTTTCCGGCCTGAGCAGAGGGTTGGACTAGAAGACCTCCAAGGTTCCTTCCCACTCTTATTACAGTCTGAAGTAGCTTCAGAGTTATCTTCAAAGGCAACTTTTAGTCAGAAAAATAGAAACAGCTCAAAGCAGTGTGCCTCAATGTGAAATTTAGTTCTAGCTGGCACAGCAAAAAATGCAAAAGGAGTCTTGTTGAAAAGCAAAGGAAAAAGAGGAAGAGAAAAAGAAGAAAAATCTGATCAACTTTATGGGAAACCTATTAATGTATTCCAGTGATGCCAATTCTGAGAGTTGAAGTCCACAAGTCTTAAAGTTGCCAAGGTTGGACACCCCTGTCTTATAGGGCTCTCCCACCACATAGTATCAATTTTGTTAACTCTCAAGACTTTTTTTTCTGCTATATATTCAAAATGGGTTGTGATTAATATACATACGTGTATATCATATGTATATGTGTGTACACATGTGTATAGTTATATATTTTTCTTTTGAGAATGGCATCAACATTTCCTTTTTTAACGTGTGCCAGTGTGTTCACATAAAAATAGTGACAATAAAGGTTATCTTATCCTATCCCATCCTATCTGCAAAACTGACTTATGCTTCATTCTTTTATAGAAATGTTGAAAATCAGTGGCTGATATCCAGTTATGGTATATTCGATCAGAAGAAACTAGGAGTGAAGGATTGTTTTTCCTGCTTTTATTTTATTTATGTTGGTCCCCGTGGATTTCCAAATGTCTCTTTTTTTCCTGCTTGATTATTTGAAATAGCAGCATACTCAACCCTTTAATCTTTATTCATCTGTGCATCGGAAAGAAACCAACTCACGAGAAATTTAAGGCACAAACCCTCCAAGGTTTGTAAGATTTGAGTATGTACAAATGAAGCAAATAAATCTAATCCTTCTATGGTTTAGTACTCAAGTGGATCCTTGTATGAGAAGATGATTTCTTGGCGGAATCTCTTTCCACCCTTCATGCACTTATATGGTTTTTCTCCTGTGTGGATCCTGTATGTGAATTAAGATTATTGCTATTGCAAAAACTGTTTCCACACTCCATACATTTGTATGGTTTCTTCCCTGTGCGGATCCTTTTATGGGAAACAAGCGATCCATTTTCATGGAAAGCTTTTCAACATTCCAGGCATTTTTATGGTTTTCCCCTTGTGTGGATCCTTTTAAGGATCCTGTTTCATGGAAGGTCTTTCATCATTCCAGACATTTACATAGCTTTTCCTGTGGGTTGTCTTATGAGAAATAAGATTACTTCCTTGACTGCAGCTCCTTCTACGTTCCAGACATTTGTACAGCATGCCAGAATGGATCCTTTTATGGGAAGTAAGCTGAGTGCTCCCCCTGAAACTCTTTCCACATTCCAAACATTTCTCCAGCATGGATACTTTGGTGGGAAATAAGTGAGCTGCTTTGTTGAAATATTCTCCCATATTCCCCACACTGATACGATTGCTCCGCTGTGTGGATTTTTTTATCGGATGTAAGATGACTATTCCACCAGAAACCATTTCCGTATTCAAAACATATGTAGTTTTCTGTACTCTGTGGGACAGAAATGAGCGTAGAGCTTTGACTAAAAGTGTTTCCACCCTCTGTGCGTTTATAAGGCTTCTCTCCTGAATGGATCCTCATATGAATTTTAAGGGATCTATTTTCGCTAAAGCTCTTCCCACACTCCATGCATTTATAAGGCTTTTCTCCAGTGTGGATCCTTTTATGAGAAATAAGGTTGCTGCTCCGACTAAAAGTCTTTTCACACTCGGTGCATTTATAGGGTTTCTCTCCTGTATGGATCCTTTTATGGGATGTGAGGGAACTGTTCTTGCTGAAGCTTTTCCCACAATCTGTGCATTGGTATGGTTTCTCACCTGTGTGGATTCTTTTATGGGAAATAAGGTCACAGTTCCAACTGAAGGTCTTTTCACACTCAGTGCATTTATAGGGCTTCTCTCCTGTATGGATCCTTTTATGGGACCTAAGGTAACTGTTCTGGCTGAAACTTTTTCCACACTCCATGCATTTGAATGGCTTCTCCCCTGTGTGAATTATTTTATGGCAAACAAGACGACTCCGCTTAGTGAAGCTCTTTCCACACTCTGTACATTTATATGGTTTTTCCTCAGAGTAAATCCTTTTATCGGAGATCAGTTGACTGCTTTGACTAAAGATTTTTCCAAACTCTGTGTATTTATAGGCTTTCTCTCCTGTGTGGAGCTTCTTATGGGAAGTAAGGGACTTAAGTAGCTGGAAGCTTTTCCCACACTCTATGCATTTATATGGTTTCTCCCCAGTATGGATCCTTTTATGGGAAATAAGCTGGCTTCTCTTTCTGAACATCATTTTACACTCCGTGCAGTTATAGCCTTCCTCTCCTGTATGGATCTTTTTATGGAGAGTAAGGGTACTCCTCCGACTGAAGGCCTTTTCACACTCCGTGCATTTATAGGGTTTCTCTCCTGTATGGATCCTTTTATGATATATAAGGAAACAGTTCTTGTTGAAGCTTTTTCCACACTCTGTGCATTTGTATGGTTTGTCACCTGTGTGGATCCGTTTGTGGGAAATAAGCAGACAATTCCATTTGAAATTCTTTCCACATTCTGTGCACTTATAGGGTTTATTTCCCATACTTTCCTTTCCAAGTAAGGGAAGAATAAGGGTCCCACTGTAACCTTTTTCACCTTCCTTGTATCCATATTGTTCTGTAGAATGAGGTTGGTAATCATTCTTTATATCTGACTTATCTTTGAACATTTTCACTGTGTTCTCAAAATACTCTTTGTTGTTTTTCCCAGTTTGATTCTGTTGTTCAAGAAAATCATTTATACTCCAAAAAGGCTGGGAAACTAAACTTTTCTGATTTTCATGTTTTGATACATTTCTTTGGCAACATTCTGTTTCCTTCTGATTTGCCATTTTTTCTGCTCCCCTCACAGGCCAAATTGTCTGGAGCGTTATCTCACAAGTCTCGTTCTGGTGCTCATTCGCTCCTTACAAGGAAACAAAAGTAAGATGTGATGAGATACAAAGAAATAAAGATTAAGACATAAGAAATTATTCTAAACATTTGGACAGAAGGTTGACATAAACAGCATTTTGAACATCTGTCATGTTGAACATAAATGATTGTCTAAAATTTACTGAACTCCGACTTTTGATATAGATCAAATTCATGAGTGAAAATATACAATGTGGAAATGCATTGTTTTGTTTTTATAACAAAATTCTTCAAAGGATCTACTGATTTTAATAGAAGGAATCTATGTAGTACAAGGTTGAACTATGGAGTCCTAGGTGCTTTCTGAGCTTGGCAGTTTGGTTGCAGATGTTTTATTACCCAACTAGGAAACTAGTTGTGATGTTGCTGTATAGTTGGAAAATGAAACATCTGCAACCAAACCATCAAGCTGAGAAAGCAACCAAAAACTCCAGGGTTCCATTGATCTTAAACCAAAATCATATCAATGTTGTTGCATTGTTTTCCTTCATTAATCAATTTTCATTATATTACTATCAATTCTCAGCAGAGTTCATATGGAAGATTGAGGAATCATGGGTATCCAAAGAGCAGATGGCAGGGCTAAGTAAATGTGACCCATCCTTTGCTTCTGTTCCTGGACTATCTTTCACTGGCTGTTCAAATCTCCTCTGACCACACAGACACGGTTAAAGAGAGAGAGAAAAAAAATTAAACATATATAAAAATATCAGAATGATTGGTTCAAAAAAAAATCTGAACCAATGCCGGAGGAAATGTTATATCTTCAAAGTCTTTTGGAAAGAAGGAAGGATCACAACCATCCAGTTCTCTGGGAGAATACTTCAGGTAGTTCTCAAGCAGTGGTGAGAACTATTCTACCGGTTCGGCCTGGTTCTGCGGAACTGGTAGCAGCGATGAGCAGTGGAGACCAAACTGGTTCTCTTTGCCGCTCTGCTGTTGGGCCCACCTGCCCGCCCGGGCTCCCATACTCACCTTTATCCTCTGAATTTGAAGCACAGCTGCTTTGCGTGGCACAGAAGAGTGCCACGCGGCAGCTGCTGAAGCAACTGGGATCATGCAAGCTTGCAGGTGGCGAGTTTGAATGCCTCTGTGCCTGTGCAAAGTGCGCGTATGGCATGCACGCATGCAAAGTGTGTGCACGTGTGCAAAGCACGCCCATCAAACCACACCCACTGAACTGGTGATAAAAATATTTGAATCCCATAATTGTTCTGAAATAATATCTGTGAATTGCTGCAGTTTAAGTCAAGGTATCACTGCACCCCATTTTTCAGCAGTTTTTGCGACAGTTGTAAGAGAACAGGATGGTTGGTTAAGCAAATCCATTTCCTCCCCATGGATGGTTTTTTTTTCTTTTGCCAGACACCTACTGGAAGTAAATGCCTGTTCCCGTAAATATGGGAACAGGCAAAATAACATCACAACTTGCAGTCATGTTGCAAATGGCTACAAATGGTTATAAAGTACCCAAATGCAATTGTGCAACCGATAGTGGGGTGTAGCCATCATAAACTTGAAAACAGGTCATAGGTAGCTCTGGGGAAGTCCCTTATAACTTTGAACAGTAGTTAAGCAACTGGTCATAAGTCAAGGACTTCCTATATTCTACAAGAGAGATTGAGGTTAAAACGTTTAGGACAGCTAGAGGTTAAATATAAAGGTCTATTCATTTGAATGACCTGGACTCCTTGATTTTCCCATGTTTGACATTAAACTGAACTACTAATGGCCAACACAAATAAGTGGTAGATAAGAGTGAATGGAATTCAAAAAGGGCTTGTGGATGTGAAGGGACTCAAGACTGATGATGCATTTGACCCCTCTCTCAGGCTGTGTCTGGACATTCTTTCATCATCATCATCATCTTCCAAACCAATGTTTCTCACCCTTGGGAATTTAAGATGTACAGACTGCAATTCTGAGAATTGAAGGGAATTTTGGGAATTGAAGTCCATACATCTTAAAATTGCCATGGTTGAGAAACATTGATGTAGCCCTAACCATAACTCTTATCTAAGCTACTGGCCTCATCTCTTCCTAGCAGAATAAGAGTTGGAAGGGACCTTGGAGATCTTCTAGTCCAACCCTCTGCTCTGGCAGGAAACCATATACCATTTCAGACAAGGTTGTCCAACCTCTTCTTAAAAACTTCCAGTGTTGGAGAATTCACAACTTTTGAAGGTAAGTTGTTCCACTGATTGTTCTGTCAGGAAATTTCTCCTTAGTTCTAGGTTGCTTCTCTCCTTGAATAATTTCCATCCACTGCTTGTCATGCCTTCAAGTGCTTTGGAGAATAGCTTGACTCCCTCTTTTTTGTGGCAATCCCCGAGATATCGGAACACTGCTATGTCACCCCCTAGTCCTTCTTTTCATTAAACCAGACATACTCAATTCCAGCAACCGTTTACATGTTTTAGCCCCCGGTCCCCAATCATCTTTGTTGCTCTTCTCTGCACTCTTTCTAGAGTCTCTAGAAGTAGGGATGCCTTTTAACCAGAAATAGCCAATTTCATCCCATCACAAAATGTCTTCTCTAAGGGCCCAGCAGAGGTCCTTACCCAGAGAAGCCACATTCTGGGAATTTTCCTGCATGACTTCTTTATGGAGGGCTTTTTGGTGGGGATCTAGCTGAGACCATTCCTCTTCAGAGAAATACACGGCCACCTCCTCGAATGACACAAGACTCTCCTGAACAAGGAAAAAACAGGGACATGTTAGCCAACAGCTCAAGGAATTACCTGCTAATTCTCTCCCTTTGGCAACCAATTAATCTGCACATACGTGTGTTTCTGAAGGATGCAAAATACTGCATATGAAAATGGCAGGGATAGCATGAAACATTTGTGGAAAGGCTAAGAAACAATTGCGGTGAAGATGTTGGGACTTTTGAAGATGGCTAAATTAACTTGCTTGATTAGAGTAAAAAGAACCCCTATGTTTATAGTTGGCTGGAAACTCCTTATTTTTTGTATAATGTGGAAAAAAGTGCACTTGATTTGTGCTTTTGATGATTAGAAAAAACTGGCTATTAGAAAAGAATGAACTTTTTTTGCAATTTCTTTCTTTTTTTTCCTGCTTTTAATTTTTCCAAACTAAAAACTAATTTCAGTGATCTTTTAGTGAAAAAAATTATTATATTCTGGATCTCCTCCAAATCTGGGCTGACCACTTCTCAGTGGCTCCACTTTTCCTGATTGTTTACTATTTTGATTTATGAAGACAACCATCTCAAATGCAGGACACTTGGGCCATTTACAACAATTTGAGTTGCTAAAGGATGTGTTGCAAGATTTATGTATGACATTTTAGGTGGAGACAAATGAAAAGATGTTCTTAAATCAGATGAAAAAGAAACAAATATGGTGCTCATATACTCATTCCAAAGTCTGTATCCAGATTAGGTTTTGAGGAAAAAAACATCTTCAGGGCACTCCTTTCAGATCAAATATCAAATCAAAAATCAAATCAATCTTCATAATCGTCATAAACAAGCATTTTTACTAAAAAAAATTCTTACAACTCTGTAGACCAGGGTCAGATTCAATTTAATTGAGGGCTGCATCAGGGTTGTGTTTGACTTTGGGGGGCTGAAGTGGGCATGGCCAGCTTGATGTCACTGGTGTTGGGGAGTGCCTGTGGTGGCCAGAGCGCTGTGATCTCTGGCCCTCCTGAGCTCCATTTTCGCTGGCGGAAGGCTGTGTCAACTCATAAAACATTTTGTATGCACGTTTTATAGTTGTCAACAGAAAGAAGGGGGGAGTTTCAAAGAGCAGGCAGCAGTGTAGAATCAAAAGTACATTCCATTCATACTTTCTTCAGGACTGATTAGATGACTGAAGCTTCTGCCACGCAATAATCTGGAGAGCATGATTGATGACTCTTGGCTATGGATGTGTTTCGTTGGATGATACACCCACAGGGGTAGGGTGGAAAAGCAGGATCAAAGGTGACAGTGAATTATGTGTCTCAGTTGGCTACGCCCAGGCTAATGCCGGAATGTCGACTTCAAATAAATCCTTTTCAGTTTTGGGGGTGTGGCTTGAGGCTCATGATTTAATTGGAGTAACTACTGGAATCCTGACAGGCTGCAGAAGGCTGTTGCTGCCAAAAATGGAGTCTGGGAGGGATGTGCATCGCCCTCCTGAGCTGCATTTTCACTGGCAGAGGCACCGCAGGCCAGTTCTTTGCTGTTTCCAGAGCAGCCCCCATAGGCTGGGTCTGCCCTGCAGGCCTTGAATTTGACACCCCTGCTGTAGATGTTTAATCTGGAGTAGAGTGGGGGCAACTGGATGGAAGTGAGTATTTACTGGCCGGGTCTCTTTTCTGACGCCTACATGGAGTTCACAGTAGATATTTTTCTTTGTGCTCTAACAGAGAAACAATTGCTGCCATCTAGGACTGAACTAACCTTCCAAGTGGGAGGCGAGTGTCTGTACCACTAGGCCACCACACCACTCTTTTACAATATAGTATCAAGTAATAATTTTAAGTAATGCCCCCAAAGCTAGCACAAAATAGAATAAACTGTATAGAAATGATTGAAATACCAAAAGAACAGAACAAAAATCTTTGGCAAAAATTTTCGGAACCAAATTAAAGCAATGTAAAACCATTAATGAGAAAGACGTTAAATGAAGAATTTCAAAATCAAAATCAAAGATGTGTTTTACAGCCAAACAGGTTATCAGGGGCATTAGCAGGGTAAGGGAAAAAAGAAATCAAAGCCCTGACCTTATTGATACATGCATCACATGTAGGCTGTGTTCTTCTATTGGGATTATCTCTCTCCCCATTCAACAGCTACATGAAACTGCCTAGGTAGCATCTTAACTTTAAATCATGTGGACTTGAACTCTCAGAATTCTGCAGGCAGCTTAAAGGGATGATTTAGGGATCTCGGAATTTGGTGGAATGCTGTCAGTACAGAGCTGACGTGCTTCCCAGCAGAAAATTGGGCAATTGAATTATGACAAGCAGACAGATAAGCTAAGCTGAGAGTAACTGATCAAGTATTGAATTCATATTCCCTCTTTCCATGTTGTGTAGAAGCAACAATATTATACATCAATCCCACAACATATCAGGAGGCCTCAAAACAGCTTATAGCTTCTCTGAAGTGCCTCCTCCTACCTGAACAGCTGGTTCAGTTACTTTTTCAGCTCTGCCAGTACAAGGAGGGGATCCTAGAAATATCAGTGGAACTATTCCATCTTCTGTAAAGGAGACAAAAATGATGGAAGGAGAGTTTTTAAAAGTTAAATAATGGATGAGAAGATCCAGACAATGAGAGGTACTTGCAATCTTTCTATGGAATTTCACATCGCTTGGACAGAATGCCGGAGGAGTAATATCTCCTTAAAAAACCTTGGTCCAGCTGGCCGGGCTGGTAGCACCTCATAAGGGCCCCTTTCCAGGGTTACAGGATAAGATGGTCAACAGTTTTGAAGGCGGAAGAGGGCTTTATGCCCCAACGGCAGATAAAACGGTAGAACCATCTTCTAGGAGAAGGGAAACTCTGATTTCAAACCTCCAATGCCTTGTGGCTATATCTATTATTGGAAAAGGCTTCAGGAGTCAACCTTGAGGCAAAATCTGGAGCCGGCATCCTGGAAGCAGTTCGTGACTGTGTACAATCACGTTCTGGTAACTTCTGCAATGCAGCTGGAACTAATCGTATAGGCTCTGCCGTTCCATTGACTATTTCAGTGACGATGAGAGGGGGGATCTGCTGCTTGGGTAACAGTTTATCCTCCATATTAAATTTCCCAGGCCTCATGCTCTGGAGAGGACACTCCAGCTTTACATACAGCATTGAAACAACACAGGAAGTGGTAGTTACCGGTTTCATAGCACGATACCATAGTCTCTTGAGACTGAAAGATGCCAATTTGGACGGAATACATTCTTACCCAGTGAAGTGTCCTGATGTTGAATTTCCTCTGAGAAATTCCTAGAAAGATGCGTTGGAGAGGAATTAGATGGCTCTTGCATTCCCTTGGAATGGTCAGGGACTATGTCCAAGAATGACCCCTGGAAGAGAAGTAGTAGGTAGAAAGAAAGGAGCAAGCAGCAGAAGAACCACTGTTAAACAACCCTTCATATTATGTTGAGGAGACATTTAAGGACTCAAACACTGTTTGTAACTTTAACACCCCTTTCAAGTCTCAAAATGAAGGTCTCTCACCTGCATCTCCGTCGTCTTCTTCTCTTCTACCTGGCTCAGGAGGAAACCTTCAGCCAGGGCCACCGCCTGAGAACTGGTCTCTGCTCCACACTCCCGAATCCAACTCTCAATTTCTGGGGGCAGGACAGCCAGGAGCTGCTCCAGAATCACCAAATCCAACATCTGAGCCTTAGTGTGTCTTTCTGGCTGTAGCCACTGATGGCATAGGTGGTGAAGGTGGTTGCAAATTTCTCGGGGCCCCTTAGAATCTTGGTACTGGATGCCCCTGAAGAGCCCGTGCCAGACCTCTGAACTGACAGTGTCCTCCTCTAGGACCTTCTGCTCAGTTTTTGCCCAGATATCCCTATAGGTCCAAGAATGAGCATCTAGGAAGCCTTTTTCACCTCCATCAAATGCTAGATATTCCTCCATTTTCTCAATCCTCTAGCACAACTTCAAACGTAGCTAAGAAATCTTGCGGTTCTCCAAGGATCTTTTCATTCCAAGAAACTACATTGTATAGAAGCCCTGGAAAAGCCTCAACAGCTTCTCCATCCTTTGCTCACAAGTTATTTTTGTACCTATGTGAAGAGAAATGGAATTAGAATAGAATACTTTATTTGGCCAAGTATGATTAGACACACAAGGATTTTTTTTTTCTCCAGTGCAGCTCTCAGTGTACAGGCAAAACAACAGAATAATAATAATCGTAACGATACTAATAAGAAATAAAAGGAGAAAAGAAGGATTAGGGATGACATGATAGCAGTGTTTCAGTATTTGAGGAGCTGCCACAAAGAAGAGGGGGTCAACTTATTTTTCAAGGTACCAGAAGGCAAGACAAGAAACAAGGGATGGAAACTAATCAAGGAGGGAAGCAACCTGGAATTAGGAAGAAACTTCCCAACAAGTGAGGACAATTAATCAATGGAACAGTTTGCTTTCAGAAGTTATGGGTGCTTCATCACTGGAGGTTTTTAAGAAAAGACTGGACTGAAATGGTATAGGTTCTCCAGCTTGAGCAAAGGGCTGGACTAGAAAACCTCCAAGATCCCTTCCAGCTTTAGTCTGATTGATTGATAATAATAATAATAATAATAATAATAATAATAATAATAATAATAATAATAATAATAATAATAATAATAATAATAAAGCAAAAGAGGTTCCTAGGTCATTCATCCAAGATGGAAAATAAATTTTAGGATTACAGATAGTGAGCACTACCAAAGAAGAAATGATTCAGCAGCTCACATTACACAAATGCGTCTGATAATAGGGGAGGAGAGCAGAATGCAAAATCTTCAGGAGCAACAGTGCTTTTTCAGGAGGCAACTGGACTTCGTTTTTTCTCTTGAAGACATTTCGCTTCTCATCCAAGTAGCTTTTTCAGCTCTGACAGGATAATGGGGAATGGAGGGAGTCAGAGCTGAAGAGGCTTCTTGGATGAGAAATGAAACATTTTCAAAAGTAGAAACAAAAAAGTCCAGTTGCCTCCTAAAAAAGCACCGACCATGACCCTTCATCAAACCCTTGGACCACAAGAGGACAGTGTTCCCAATCTCAGCAACTTGACGGATGTGTGGACTTCACCTCCCAAAATTCCCCAGCCATCTGTGTTGACTGGGGAATTCTGGGAGTTGCAATCCACACAACTTCAAAACCCTGATTTAGGAAGTCTTCCTCTTTGGATCCAGGATGATAGGAAGCTTTCCTTTTTTCAATGTGAACACATTGGCATTCTCTCTCTCTCTCTCTCTCTCTCTCTCACACACACACACACACAGAGGCAAAAACAATGCAACTAAAACCAAAACACGAGATGACAAACCACCACAGATAACAGATAATCAGAGTTGGAAGGGGCCTTGTAAGTCATCTAGTCCAACCCCGCACCCAAGCGGGAGACCCTACATCATTTCTGACAGATGGGAGTCCAATCTCTTCTTGAAGGTCTCAAGTGATGGCACTCCCACAACTTCTGAGGGCAAGCCATTGCATGGGTTGATTGCTCTTGTTGTCAGAAAGTTTCTCCTTATTTCCAGGTTAAATCTCTCCTTATTCAGTGTTCATCCATTATTCCTTGTCTGGCCTACAGGCACTTTAGAAAATAGCTTGAATCCTTCCTCTCTGTGGCAGCCCCTCAAATATTGGAACACTGCTATCATGTCTCCCATGGTCCTTCTCTTCATTAGACTAGCCAGGCCCAGTTCCTGCAACCGTTCTTCATATGTTTTAGTCTCCAGTCCCCTAATCATCCTGGTTGCTCTTCTCTGCACTTTTTCTAGAGTCTCAACATCTTTTTTATAATGCGGTGACCAAAACTAGATGCAGTACTCTAGGTGTGGTCTTACTAAGGCTTTATAGAGTGGTATTAGTACCTCCCTTGATCTCGATTGTATCCTTCTGTTAATGCAATTTAGGATTGCATTGACTTTTTTGGCTGCTGCTGCTGCACACTGCTGGCTCATATTTAGCTGGTTGTCCACTAAGACTCCAAGATTCCTCTCACAGTTACTGCTATACTACTACTGATACTACTGATGAATTCATGCAATGCAGCCCCCAGCTGCATCCCAGCTGCTTTCCTGCAAAAATTCCTCCCTTTCCAGCTGGAATTTTGCAATCTCTCTTTCTTCCTCCTTCCATGCAGTTTCTCCCCCCCCCGCCCCCGAAATAGAGGAGAAATGACTGGGGGGGGGGGGTCCTGAATGAATTCAGGAATTATAAATAGGAAATTTATAAATAGGCCAGGAAAAAATTCGGGGGGGGGGACATGAATAATCTGGAGCTTTGGTTCTTACCCTCTACCCTCTCTCCTCGCCCTACATGCAAAGGAGTGGCAGTGCAACATGGGACCTTGGGCTCCCCCCTTCCCAGGACTCCGGACTTTGGATGAAGCCTTCGCAGGTTTCCACCTGAACGCCTTTGTACGGGAAAAGCCTCTCCACACACCCACCAACTCACTACTGAGTCACGTCTGGATCGTGTGTCCTTCCAAAGCTGGGACGATTCCGCGCAAGCTTCCAAGCGAAGGAATGCAGGATCCTAAGGAGGACCGGACGTTCGGTGACGTCATTCCTGTCCTTCCCTCTCCCTCCCCGGAAAACCCATAGGAGAATCTTCCCTTAGAAATCTTCCCTTTCCATCATGCAAAACGGGCAGGCGCATGCTCAGTTGCCCCGTATGACGCTGGGAGGCTGACAGCCCTTATAAACAAGGACAGAGTGAGCCCCCTGGTGGGCTCTCTGCAGAATGCAGGCGGTGTTGAAGAGCGCGCGGGGTTGAGGGGCGGGGAGTGGAAAAACAGACTCGCTTTTGCCTCAGAAAACGTTAACTTCGTTTCTCCATGATGGTCTGTGGAGACTTAAAATCTATATCGACCGAATGAAGGAATTGAAATAATAAGTCGTAAATATGAATACCCAAAGACTTCTTTTCGTGCACATACCCTCTTCGCTCGGGGATCTTGTCCAAGAGAAGGATGGACCCAGATTAAAAAGGCGGGTTATTGAGGAGCCGTCATAGCGCCAATTGGAGGGACAAGATAGGGTTGACAGAGTCACGCGAAGGGCCCCGAAGGCTAAAATTCCCTCAGAGGCGAGCGAATATTTCAAGAAAAGAGCCTTGAAACGGGGAAAAGGACTCCAAGCGATTCAACTCCGCAAAAGTTTTACCTCAGAAATGTCACAGTTCGTGCACAATTACTTCTTACCATTATCTCGGGATAAAAAAGAAATGCCTGCGAGATATATGACTTAAAATCTAGCTTCTTTTAATTCAGCTTCCAGAAGATTCTGTTTCCCTGTTTCTTTTTTTTTACAGTAATCCTTGTTTATGTCTGAAGTCAGAAAAGTGCTGAAAAAGTAACTCTACAACTGGTTCTTGGTCCCAGTGGTGGGATTCAAATTTTTTAAATTAACGGTTCTGTGGGTGTGGCTTGGTAGTCATGTGACTGGGTGGGTCAAAAGACAAACTCGCTTGAACAATGCTCTTAGCAACCAAAATTTGGGGCTCAATTATGGTAAGTTGAGGACTACGTGGATAACTGAGGGCAGTAATATGGTTATATCACTGGATTAACATTTTCAAAAGGTTATTTAAAAAGATTCTATTTTGTGTGACAAATATGCACCGTATAAAAATTAAAAACAACAGCTAAAATTACATCAATATAAAAATTGAAAGGGAAAAGTTAAAATATTAAAAGTTTAATTTTAATTAAATTAATTACAATTTTAATTAATTTGATTAATTAAAATTTTAATTAAAATAATTAAGTTAAAATATTAAAAGTTTTTATATTACAAATATTAAAAAATAACATATTAAAAGGTCTTGGAAAATAAAAATATTTTTGCTGTAATGGAAAGAGAACAAAGTAGGTGTCAACTGTGTTTCACAGGAATGGGCAATCTACAGCTATTCCCTGCCTTCCTCAAGATAGAGGCATTAACCCACTTTTCAGCTGAGGTTGTTTAAAAATAAATTATGTTTTTAAGAATCACCATTTTTCACTGCATTTCAGGCAGGTGGTTCCAGTATGGCATAACAATCAATGATCTCACCTCCTAGCATTCAAATACTATCATTCAATTTCATTAATTAAAAATTTAATTAAGTTAAAATATTAAAAGTTTTTAATATTACAAATATTTAAAAATAATATATTAAAAGGAATGGGCAATCTACAGTTTGTTTAAAAATAAATTATGTTTTTAAGAATCACCATTTTCCACTGCATTTCAGGCAGGTGGTCCTTCCCTCTTTCCTTTTTCTTTCTTTCTCCCCTCCCTTTCTCCCATTCCTCTCTCCCTCTCTTTTTCTTTCATTGCACCTCCCCCTCCCCATTTTGGGTCTAGCAAGGCTCCCTGGAGCCTCAGAGCCAAAGTGAGGCACAGGGATGTGTGTGTGGCGTGCACTTACCTGGGAGCCAGACGAGACTCCTGGGAGTCGCGGGGCAGGGTGGGCGGGGCCAGCTGGTTGTCAGAACTACTGGTTTGGTGAACTGGATGTAAAATTGACATCTGGTTCACCCGAACTGGCTGAATCCTACCCCTGGTTCTTACATTTATAACCATCTCAGGGTCTCAGTGGTGAGGACCACAGGATAGACTTTGTAATACTTACAACATGGGTTTTATAGTTGTGTTGCACTGGCTAAGATGGGCTTACCTTCTGTAGATTACCTCACATTTTGAACATAACAAGAAAGTTAGTCCTTCTGATACTTGAGCCCAAAATTTCTGTTGCTAAGTGAGACAGTTCTTAAGTGAGTTTTGCTCCACTTTGCGAGGAGGAGGAAAGATGGCGGCGCAATCACTTGCTGCAGCTCAGTGCTCCGTGGATATGTGTTGTTTGTGGCTGTTTGTGGTTGTATTATCGGGTGTTGTGAGTACTTCTTGTGAGGCGAACAAATTCTACAACAGATGGGACCTTGTGGAGATTGGTTTACAAAGTAAACAGGAGATAACAGCTGAATTTCTCTGGCGTTTTAACATCCCAGTTGAGATTGCAAGGCCTCCTGGCTCCTGGTGGATTAATGCTCTCACCGAAAGAACAGACGAAGGAAACGTTCAGAAAGGAAGAAGAAGAGGGGCTGTCGAGCTGGTGTTTTACATAGAATGAAAAAACAAAAGAGGAGGTTACCGCTCCCAAGCCTCTTTCTGACAAACGCCAGGTCAGTTGTAAATAAGATGGACGATCTAAGGTTAATGGCTTCTTCAAGCAAATATGTTAAAGATTGTTGTGTGCTGTTAATAACTGAGACCTGGCTTAACCCCACTATTCCATGTACTGAAATAGAGCTGGATGGTTTCTTGCTACATTGCTTGGATAGAGATAAGACTGTTGGAAAGAATAAAGGAGGAGGGGTTTGTATGTATGTGAGAGACAATTGGAGTACAAACTCGAAGATTATAACAAGCCACTGCTCTGCTGAAGTAGAATATATGACTGTAAAGATTAGACCTTTTTATTTGCCACGCAAATTTAACGCTGTCATCATATTGGTTGTTTATATTCCACCAGATGCAAAAGCTGATCTAGCTTTGAATTACTTGGGTGATGAAGTTAGTAATTTGCAAACTAAGTATCCAGATGGTGTATATATTGTAGCAGGGGATTTTAATCATGTTGATTTGCGAGTTGTTCTTTCTAAATTTCATCAACATGTGAGATGTGCGACCAGGGGGTTGAATACTTTAGATAAAGTTTACACAAATATTGCACAGGGGTATAGGATTCTGCAGCTACCACATCTAGGTATGTCTGACCATTTATCTCTGGTTCTGGCTCCTGAGTATATTTCTAAGAGGAAGAAGCGGGGGGCGGTAGTAAAGACAGTGAAATGTTGGCCTGAGGGGGCGATTACGCAGCTTCAAGATTGTTTTGAACGAACCAACTGGGACATCTTTGAACATCAAGATTTAGAGCATTATACAGCTGCAGTTTTGGGATATATGGCCCATTGCATTGATACTGTTACGACGAACAAGTGTATTCGATCCTACCCAAACCAAAAACCATGGATGACTGGCACTGTTAGGTCCCTTTTGTACAAGAGAAATAAGGCATTTAAGTCTGGAGATGCCTCACTGTATAGTGTGGCTAGAGCAAATTTGAAGCGTGGTATTAAACAAGCTAAGGCTGCATACAAGGGAAAGATAGAAGACTGGTTATCTAATAATAACCTGAGACAAGCTTGGCAGGGGATTCAGCAGTTAACTAATTTTAAAGCACAAAAGGCTAGTGTGGGTGGAAAACATGAGTTGGTAGAGGAACTAAACACCTTTTATGCCCGGTTTGAGATGAATCAACTGGAAGTGGAGGTACCATCACCACTACCATTGTTGACCGAGCACTGTGCTCCTCTTGTTGTGAAGGAGCATGATGTTAGGTGTATAATGAAAGCGGTAAACTCTAGAAAAGCTGCAGGACCTGACAACATTCCTGGTTGTGTAGTAAAGGAATGTGCGGATCAGTTAGCCGGGGTGTGGACTGAGATCTTCAATCATTCTTTGCTACAGTCTATTGTTCCAACTTGTCTGAAGGCTTCTATTATTGTTCCAGTACCCAAGAAGTCACCTGCAAATGCTTTAAATGACTATAGGCCGGTGGCATTGACTTCTGTGATAATGAAGTGCTTCGAGCAGTTAGTTCAGAAATACATTATTTCTTGCCTTCCTGCTACCTTTGACAATTATCAGTTTGCTTATAGAACAAATAGATCTACTGAGGATGCTGTCAATACTGTTCTTCATACTGCCCTATCTCATTTAGAGAAAAAAGGAACGTATGTCAGAATATTATTTGTTGATTTTAGTTCTGCTTTCAACACAATATTACCCCACAGATTGATGTCTAAGCTTAAAGATCTGAAGCTACCGGACTCTATATGTTGGTGGATTCTGAATTTTTTATCACATCGTTCACAAAGGGTTAGGATGAATGAACATATCTCTTCTGTGAAGATTCTCAATACTGGCACTCCTCAGGGCTGTGTATTGAGTCCACTTCTATTCACTATTTATACGTCTGATTGCACCTCTATTCATCTGAGTAAAAAGATCATTAAGTTTGCAGATGATACAACGTTGGTGGGGCTCATTTCTGATAATGATGAGTCTGCGTACAGGGATGAAGTTCATCAGTTGTCCCTCTGGTGCAAAGTAAACAATCTTATTTTTAATATAAATAAGACGAAGGAATTCATAGTGGATTACAGGAAGAGCAGTTCGGATATCCAGCCATTGTACATCGATGGTGTTTTGATAGAACAGGTGGCAGAATGTAAGTTTCTAGGTATTACCCTGAAACAAGATCTAACATGGGGGGCAAATACTTTAGCCCTAGAAAAAAAGGCTTATTACTTTTAAGATCACAACAACTGCCAAAGAGTCTGTTGGTTGCCTTTTATCGAAGCTCTATAGAGAGCATTTTATCCTATTGCCTCTGTGTGTGGTTTAGGAGTTGTACAGAGGCGGAGAAAAGGGCACTCCAAAGAGTGATAAAGAGGGCACAAAAGATCAGCGGATGTTCTCTT